CAAATTGTTAAATTTAAAAAAGTATATTTTAATTTTTAAAAAAACTTTCATTTAAAGGATTATATTGGAAAAAAAATATAGATACTAAAAAGAGAAACCTATAGACAAAAATAAATATAATTAATTATCTATAATTTTATTGTAGATCATTATTTTAATTTAAAAATAAGTAGTTAAATGTAAAAAAGGGGAATAAAAAAATACCAATTTTAAAAAATAATTATTTAAAGGATATAAATGAAAAACATGTAAACCAAAATTCCATTTATATATATAATAGCATGATTTTACTACTAAATTTTAATAGATAGTAATAATAAATTTAAAGTGGTCTTGATATTAATAATAAATATATAATATTGAATTAATTTTAATATAATAATGAAGTAGTATTGTTGATTTATATTATTATATAATAATTTAAAATATTAATATTAACTTACAACTAATTTGCATTTATTATATCTATTTTAATATATTTTCAAATTTATTATTTTATAAACATTCTAAATTCATAAGAAGCCGGATTATAACTAGTTTTCAGAAATGGAGAGTAAAAATGAGATTTAGAGTTCATTCTCAAGGAAATTGAAAAAACTTAGATATAACCTAAATTAAAGTACAAAAAGAAATCCTAAAAGTAAAACATGTGATCCATAATTCTGTCTATAACGTGAAAAGAGTGTCCATATCCGTAGTTAAAATTCAGTAACTCTAAAAAACCAGATTACTTCAGTAATTTGTTCCTTGAGTTATCCAGGAAAGAAAATCCAAGTGTTCCGATTCCTTTCTCAATCGTGCGAACAAAACTCACTTTCTTCAAACAGAGCACTATTCATGTAAAACTGTACGTGAGATATACCTATTAAAGTNTCAATCATAGACATTTAGAAGGCGCCGCCCCGAGTGGCTGTGTCAGACACAAGCCGAGTGAAAAGTCCAAAAAGCCATCCACGAACGAAGACGCTGCACCGGTGAGTCCTGCGGTGAGCCGAGTCGGGCCAAGCAAGCCCAGCCAGAAACAGAACTGTGTCTCTGCAAAGGAAATTGGGTTTTGCCTTTGATGTTTTACCGTCTTCAGTCTCTCCTTCTTATCCATTCCTGCTTCATTATATACTACCACTTTGTGTTGGCTTTTTCAATTGCCTCTCGAAACGGCGTCCTCTTCTGCTGTGCTGAGGTGCTTGGACTGCTCTCCCGAATAAACCCACTGTGGGACCCTCTGCCTTTTTGAAGCAGCGGATGCTTATTTGGAATTTTTTTAATATTAAACTTTAAATTAATGATTTATCATTTTATATTAATATTTCAAAGGGAGAGATAATGTATTTGCTGCTGCATACTTAGCAGAGAAGCTGACAGACTTTTTCTTCTCTCTTATTTTATTCTTAGGTTAAAAGAATAAAATATATCAACTTTTTCTTCTCCTTTTACTTTTTTTTTTTATCTACTGTTTCTTTTCATATAATATATCACAAAATTAAAAATAGTATACTTATTCAAGTTGGACCTGATTTTATATGTATCTTAAACATAAAGTAGGTGGTAAAATCCTAACGTTTGATTTTTTTTTTTTTTGTCTTGAAAAAGTTTATTCTGTTACTTGGAAAAGATTTTTTTGAAAAATAGCAAGAAACTTACGCTGTGTTTGTTTGAAGAAAAATGACTGTTCACGGTGATTGGCGATAATGGATTTGAAAAACGAGCGTTGTTCTCTTGCGACGATTTGAGACGATGGAACAGCGCTGATTTGCAAGATAGCACGGTTGAACTTATCTCGCCAATTTGCGAGGATTTGCTCTGATTTAATACACAAAGACTCATATGCCCTGACTAACGTGGAAGCAGCCGGGATTGAAGAAGTGATAACCGGTTACAGAAGAATGAAGTTTTGGTGACACACGCGTTACGCAAACGCGTAACCGGTTACACAAACGCGTAACCGGTAACAGGCTATATATTTTTCAGTTTTTTTATAATTATTTTAATATTATAATTTAAAAAGATCTACATCTTAATAAAATTAGGTATATTATATTTTCTAATTTATTAAAAATAAGTTGATTATTTAATTTTTATAATTTTTAAACATTAATTTTATAAATTATTCATAATTTTTTTTTCTTTATAAACATTTTTACTATTAAATATAACATTTATAAATAAAATTTTATATTTCTTTTATAATTAGGGGCATTTTGGTAATCTTTAATTTCTACCAATTAAACTAATTTTTAAAATCTATCACATCAATCAAATCCTACACTAATTCTCATCAACTTTACTTCCAAATTCACTCTCAATTACCCACAAATCCACTCAAAAAAATAACAAAAAAAATTACTCTCAAATTCACTCAAATCTATTCAAATCATTTCCCCCAAATCAGTTTTCGAGGGAGTGTGCAAAAAGTGAATATTTATCAAATAATATTAATTATATTTAGAAAATAAATATTAATTATAGATTTATATTTTGATTAAAATAATATATAATAATATTATAATAAATAGTAGTAAAATAATCAACACATGATATTATTATCAAAATATAGTTATAATATATAAATAAGCTTAAATTTGAACTATTTGAACTATTTGATAATAAATAAGCTTAAATTTTTTTATTGAACCATACTTTTTAATATAATGTTAAGCTAAATAATACCAAAATAATTTCAAAATATTATATATTGTAATATTTACCGGTTCTTCAAAATTAATATATAAAATGTTTTTTTTTTCAAAAATTTACTAGAAATTTAGAAAAATATGAATATATAATATATAAATTTATTATTTTGGGTTGATATTTATTATTTAGTCATGATTTAATTTGGATCACTACATAAATAATTTTTGAAACTTTATTATAAAGTTTTTATATATTGTATAAGTGGTTGTATAATTAAAAAATGGTTAAGTTTAATAAACGGTCAAACTACAAAATGTAAAATTTAAAGCAAGAGTAAAATTAATAAAATAACTATTTTAATTTAATTTTTGTTTATTTAAATAATAAATTTAGAAAATAAATATGAACACGCAGAAAATCTCTTCTATCTAATATAGATAAAACTGATACCGAATATTAAAATTATTATCTTAGTATATTTTAATGGGTTAAATATGTTTTTAGTCCCTCAATTATTAAACGATTTTGTTTTTCGTCTTTATTTCAAACTTAGTACGTTTTGATCTTCTCATTAAGGAAACCATAATTTTTGGTCCGACGTTAATAATCAGGTGAGGTGACTAACCTGGAAACTTAGAAACTCTCTATATCTATGCATCATTTGATATATTTCAATGCAAAGTCAAAACAGTAGTCACACACACGAACGCCAACACACCTCCACTAACTCAGGTTGTCGTCGGCGACGTATGTTGCCGCCGGGGAAGCCATCGGAGTTTCCCATCCTTTTCTTCCAAGCATTAGGGTTTCTTTCTTCTTTTTCAATCTCTGCAACGCTCATCAGGAACGATAAAGGCACCATCACGGTCCACTCCAACCAGATTCGTCATGGGTGGCATATGGAGCCATCGATGGTGTTGTCAACGCCAGTGTCTCCTTCTTCGATCGATCTGCACTGGCCGTCGAAGCTTAAAGCTTCAATCCCAAAACACAAAACAGTCAAATTTTCCGATCAAGCTTTTCTCTCACATCACCCATCACCATGAACTTCACTGGCTTCAATTGGGTTGGTTTGGAGTGAAGAAGATACCTCGACGTGGGAAAGTTAAGTTTCAGATTAGAAGACAAAGTGTGTGCCATTTATGAAGATTAACACATCATTAATTTCGATATTAAATTAACATTTACAGAATTAACTTAAGTCGATTATTTAGATTTATTAGTCAAATTTATAAATATCATTATAAATAGTTATTCTTACAAGGATTTATTTTCACAATAATATTAGTTGCTCTTTGAAAAAAATCTTTAAAATTTACAATTTCTTAATAATAACAAATTCTTTAAAGGGACAATAATAGACTACTTTTAATATTAACTATATTAAATGTGCATCTGTGCTACTTTTTTTATATGATAATAAAAAATAACAAAATTCTTCTTATTATTATAAAATTAAATATAAATAATTTTATAATTTTATTAAAATAACTTTTACATATTTTATAGGTAAATTATATATTAAAGAATTGTTAAGTTAAAAATTATAGTAAGATTTAAATTTTTTTAATTAAACATTTATTTTAATTTAGAAAACTTTTATCTAAAAGGTAAAATTAAAAAAGAAAAAGAAAAATCCTTTATATATAATATAGATAAAATAAGTAAATATAAATAATCCTTTAAATTTCATTGAAAATAACTTTTCATAGGTAGTTTTATGATTAAATTAATAGTTAAGTTTAAAACATGTCAAATTGTTAAATTTAAAAAAGTATATTTTAATTTTTAAAAAAACTTTCATTTAAAGGATTATATTGGAAAAAAAATATAGATACTAAAAAGAGAAACCTATAGACAAAAATAAATATAATTAATTATCTATAATTTTATTGTAGATCATTATTTTAATTTAAAAATAAGTAGTTAAATGTAAAAAAGGGGAATAAAAAAATACCAATTTTAAAAAATAATTATTTAAAGGATATAAATGAAAAACATGTAAACCAAAATTCCATTTATATATATAATAGCATGATTTTACTACTAAATTTTAATAGATAGTAATAATAAATTTAAAGTGGTCTTGATATTAATAATAAATATATAATATTGAATTAATTTTAATATAATAATGAAGTAGTATTGTTGATTTATATTATTATATAATAATTTAAAATATTAATATTAACTTACAACTAATTTGCATTTATTATATCTATTTTAATATATTTTCAAATTTATTATTTTATAAACATTCTAAATTCATAAGAAGCCGGATTATAACTAGTTTTCAGAAATGGAGAGTAAAAATGAGATTTAGAGTTCATTCTCAAGGAAATTGAAAAAACTTAGATATAACCTAAATTAAAGTACAAAAAGAAATCCTAAAAGTAAAACATGTGATCCATAATTCTGTCTATAACGTGAAAAGAGTGTCCATATCCGTAGTTAAAATTCAGTAACTCTAAAAAACCAGATTACTTCAGTAATTTGTTCCTTGAGTTATCCAGGAAAGAAAATCCAAGTGTTCCGATTCCTTTCTCAATCGTGCGAACAAAACTCACTTTCTTCAAACAGAGCACTATTCATGTAAAACTGTACGTGAGATATACCTATTAAAGTGGCTTGTATTGTATACGTGGGTAGCTTCAACCATTAAATGCACATATGCATACCCCTCACCCATGGATCAGTGAACTCAAGTTTGTAGCACTGTGTGGTTAAACTTATTACAAACTTAACTGGCCATGGCGCATCTTCTTTATCCTTGTTGGTATGAACAGGTTGTACTTATGTACGGTTTTTCTTGATATTGAACATTCGGAACTTGGATCACTTTGGTCCCTCTTCAAACCTGAGAAAAACAACATGAGAAAACTCGGGGCAGTAAAGGGAGGGAATTGAACGTCCCAGAAATTAGCATTAAAAAGAGTGGTTTTGTTACTGATCATTCCAAGTGTTTCCCATGAACCAGGGTGCCTAATCTCACAACAAGAGACAATTCAATTCACAGGACAAACCAGTTTCAGCTGTATACCGTGTCCTCTTCTTTTGCTCGAGCTCACAACGTCAATTTGAACCCCTTAGACAGGAAGTCATCCCTGCGAAAAAGATGAAGTAAGCACAACAACAACAGCACAGGAAGACGAGGAGCGTTGAAAAATCAAAATTGGCCCACCGATCCATGTGTGAATCAGATTAAACTTTAGGCTAATTCACTATTACAAAAAGATCTCAGGACAATCCCGAGTTTTTTTTTCTTTTTTTCTAAATAAGATTCAAACATACCGTGAATTTTTTATAGTCCAACCACGGGAAAAAGTTAATCTTAACAAAGAGAACAACACTATCATGCATGTAAAATTTAATTTCAGAAAAGTTACCCATAGTCATAAACATCAAATCTGACAACACTTAATAAATTTGTCAATGATTTCACTTGTCATGAGGGGTGGACTTGGTTCAAGTTATAGTCAACTCACTACTAGACAGAGCTAGCCACAAAATTAAAGAAAACTTGCATAGCCCCTTGTTTTAAATATGACAACAGAGAGTATAAACTTATTTTGTGGGAGACAAAAAGCAATTAGCATTGGTACCTTTTCTTCCTATTCTTCTGGTGGCCCAGTTCGTGCATCTCGCTCTCGTCACGGAGGTTCAGTAGAGTGGGTGGGAGAAGGCTTCCAGCGCAAACTGTGCCTTCGATGGAGTTTCCGATTCCGGGTATTTTAACGAAACTCACATCGCCACTACTGAGGTTATACCAACAGAGCTTGCTACGGTTCTGTTCAAGCAAAACCCTGTCTCCGTCTATAAGCAAAGGCCTCACAGATTGTAATTTTGGCAATCCAATGTGAAGATGGTCCTGCGTTATGGTAAACAGTTTCTCCCACGAATCTGAGGATCCGTACACTCTCATAACCCAGAAGTCAAATCCGCTTCCCCTATTCTCCACCAGGCACAGACACCCTCCCAACAGAGCCACCTCCATATCGAAATTTCCCTTCACGGTTGCAGGGAGCTCAACTTCACGAAAGCTCTCGCGCGTGAGGTCAAAGGCGACTATGAGATCGGGTTGGTCAGGTTGGAGTTTGCGAGTGACGACCCAGTGAAGGGCACCGCCGACCAAGACGCCCATGGTCCGCGCGCAGCAGAGGGCGTAGGGCATGCTAGGGAGATTTTTCCAGGCGTCGGATTTGAGTGTGTAGAGTTGGACCTGGGAATCGAAGGTGCGGTTGTGGAGATCGACAAAGTAAGTAATGCTGACGAGCTTGTAGTCATTGGAGGCAGCATCGTGGCCGAAGCCGTGGACGCGGGCTGCGAAGAGGGAGGAGTCCGGGCGGTTGAAGCGGTCAGCGGGGAGAATCCGGTGCTTGCGGAGGTGAGGGTTCCAGAGGGCGATGTCGTCGGCGACGTTGGAGATACAGATGAGGCCGTTGCAGGAACCAAGAACCTTGATGCTGTTGCTGTAGCACATGAGAGGGTGAGTAACTTCGAGGGGTTTCTCGAGGGATTGAAGGTCGACGGTGTAGAGGTGGGAGCGGTGACGGAGAATGAGGGTGGTGTGGGATTTGCTGAGGTGGAATAGGATGAAGTGGGTGGTGTCGATGAGGGAGCGCCACCACTTACAGGTGGAGCGGAGCCGCAGCACTGACTTCACCGGCAGACGGGACANTCTCAATTACCCACAAATCCACTCAAAAAAATAACAAAAAAAATTACTCTCAAATTCACTCAAATCTATTCAAATCATTTCCCCCAAATCAGTTTTCGAGGGAGTGTGCAAAAAGTGAATATTTATCAAATAATATTAATTATATTTAGAAAATAAATATTAATTATAGATTTATATTTTGATTAAAATAATATATAATAATATTATAATAAATAGTAGTAAAATAATACAAAATAATCTATCAAAATATAATTATAATATATAAATAAGCTTAAATTTGAACTATTTGATAATGAATAAGCTTAAATTTTTTTATTGAACCATACTTTTTAATATAATGTTAAGCTAAATAATACCAAAATAATTTCAAAATATTATATATTGTAATATTTACCGGTTCTTCAAAATTAATATATAAAATGTTTTTTTTTTCAAAAATTTACTAGAAATTTAGAAAAATATGAATATATAATATATAAATTTATTATTTTGGGTTGATATTTATTATTTAGTCATGATTTAATTTGGATCACTACATAAATAATTTTTGAAACTTTATTATAAAGTTTTTATATATTGTATAAGTGGTTGTATAATTAAAAAATGGTTAAGTTTAATAAACGGTCAAACTACAAAATGTAAAATTTAAAGCAAGAGTAAAATTAATAAAATAACTATTTTAATTTAATTTTTGTTTATTTAAATAATAAATTTAGAAAATAAATATGAACACGCAGAAAATCTCTTCTATCTAATATAGATAAAACTGATACCGAATATTAAAATTATTATCTTAGTATATTTTAATGGGTTAAATATGTTTTTAGTCCCTCAATTATTAAACGATTTTGTTTTTCGTCTTTATTTCAAACTTAGTACGTTTTGATCTTCTCATTAAGGAAACCATAATTTTTGGTCCGACGTTAATAATCAGGTGAGGTGACTAACCTGGAAACTTAGAAACTCTCTATATCTATGCATCATTTGATATATTTCAATGCAAAGTCAAAACAGTAGTCACACACACGAACGCCAACACACCTCCACTAACTCAGGTTGTCGTCGGCGACGTATGTTGCCGCCGGGGAAGCCATCGGAGTTTCCCATCCTTTTCTTCCAAGCATTAGGGTTTCTTTCTTCTTTTTCAATCTCTGCAACGCTCATCAGGAACGATAAAGGCACCATCACGGTCCACTCCAACCAGATTCGTCATGGGTGGCATATGGAGCCATCGATGGTGTTGTCAACGCCAGTGTCTCCTTCTTCGATCGATCTGCACTGGCCGTCGAAGCTTAAAGCTTCAATCCCAAAACACAAAACAGTCAAATTTTCCGATCAAGCTTTTCTCTCACATCACCCATCACCATGAACTTCACTGGCTTCAATTGGGTTGGTTTGGAGTGAAGAAGATACCTCGACGTGGGAAAGTTAAGTTTCAGATTAGAAGACAAAGTGTGTGCCATTTATGAAGATTAACACATCATTAATTTCGATATTAAATTAACATTTACAGAATTAACTTAAGTCGATTATTTAGATTTATTAGTCAAATTTATAAATATCATTATAAATAGTTATTCTTACAAGGATTTATTTTCACAATAATATTAGTTGCTCTTTGAAAAAAATCTTTAAAATTTACAATTTCTTAATAATAACAAATTCTTTAAAGGGACAATAATAGACTACTTTTAATATTAACTATATTAAATGTGCATCTGTGCTACTTTTTTTATATGATAATAAAAAATAACAAAATTCTTCTTATTATTATAAAATTAAATATAAATAATTTTATAATTTTATTAAAATAACTTTTACATATTTTATAGGTAAATTATATATTAAAGAATTGTTAAGTTAAAAATTATAGTAAGATTTAAATTTTTTTAATTAAACATTTATTTTAATTTAGAAAACTTTTATCTAAAAGGTAAAATTAAAAAAGAAAAAGAAAAATCCTTTATATATAATATAGATAAAATAAGTAAATATAAATAATCCTTTAAATTTCATTGAAAATAACTTTTCATAGGTAGTTTTATGATTAAATTAATAGTTAAGTTTAAAACATGTCAAATTGTTAAATTTAAAAAAGTATATTTTAATTTTTAAAAAAACTTTCATTTAAAGGATTATATTGGAAAAAAAATATAGATACTAAAAAGAGAAACCTATAGACAAAAATAAATATAATTAATTATCTATAATTTTATTGTAGATCATTATTTTAATTTAAAAATAAGTAGTTAAATGTAAAAAAGGGGAATAAAAAAATACCAATTTTAAAAAATAATTATTTAAAGGATATAAATGAAAAACATGTAAACCAAAATTCCATTTATATATATAATAGCATGATTTTACTACTAAATTTTAATAGATAGTAATAATAAATTTAAAGTGGTCTTGATATTAATAATAAATATATAATATTGAATTAATTTTAATATAATAATGAAGTAGTATTGTTGATTTATATTATTATATAATAATTTAAAATATTAATATTAACTTACAACTAATTTGCATTTATTATATCTATTTTAATATATTTTCAAATTTATTATTTTATAAACATTCTAAATTCATAAGAAGCCGGATTATAACTAGTTTTCAGAAATGGAGAGTAAAAATGAGATTTAGAGTTCATTCTCAAGGAAATTGAAAAAACTTAGATATAACCTAAATTAAAGTACAAAAAGAAATCCTAAAAGTAAAACATGTGATCCATAATTCTGTCTATAACGTGAAAAGAGTGTCCATATCCGTAGTTAAAATTCAGTAACTCTAAAAAACCAGATTACTTCAGTAATTTGTTCCTTGAGTTATCCAGGAAAGAAAATCCAAGTGTTCCGATTCCTTTCTCAATCGTGCGAACAAAACTCACTTTCTTCAAACAGAGCACTATTCATGTAAAACTGTACGTGAGATATACCTATTAAAGTGGCTTGTATTGTATACGTGGGTAGCTTCAACCATTAAATGCACATATGCATACCCCTCACCCATGGATCAGTGAACTCAAGTTTGTAGCACTGTGTGGTTAAACTTATTACAAACTTAACTGGCCATGGCGCATCTTCTTTATCCTTGTTGGTATGAACAGGTTGTACTTATGTACGGTTTTTCTTGATATTGAACATTCGGAACTTGGATCACTTTGGTCCCTCTTCAAACCTGAGAAAAACAACATGAGAAAACTCGGGGCAGTAAAGGGAGGGAATTGAACGTCCCAGAAATTAGCATTAAAAAGAGTGGTTTTGTTACTGATCATTCCAAGTGTTTCCCATGAACCAGGGTGCCTAATCTCACAACAAGAGACAATTCAATTCACAGGACAAACCAGTTTCAGCTGTATACCGTGTCCTCTTCTTTTGCTCGAGCTCACAACGTCAATTTGAACCCCTTAGACAGGAAGTCATCCCTGCGAAAAAGATGAAGTAAGCACAACAACAACAGCACAGGAAGACGAGGAGCGTTGAAAAATCAAAATTGGCCCACCGATCCATGTGTGAATCAGATTAAACTTTAGGCTAATTCACTATTACAAAAAGATCTCAGGACAATCCCGAGTTTTTTTTTCTTTTTTTCTAAATAAGATTCAAACATACCGTGAATTTTTTATAGTCCAACCACGGGAAAAAGTTAATCTTAACAAAGAGAACAACACTATCATGCATGTAAAATTTAATTTCAGAAAAGTTACCCATAGTCATAAACATCAAATCTGACAACACTTAATAAATTTGTCAATGATTTCACTTGTCATGAGGGGTGGACTTGGTTCAAGTTATAGTCAACTCACTACTAGACAGAGCTAGCCACAAAATTAAAGAAAACTTGCATAGCCCCTTGTTTTAAATATGACAACAGAGAGTATAAACTTATTTTGTGGGAGACAAAAAGCAATTAGCATTGGTACCTTTTCTTCCTATTCTTCTGGTGGCCCAGTTCGTGCATCTCGCTCTCGTCACGGAGGTTCAGTAGAGTGGGTGGGAGAAGGCTTCCAGCGCAAACTGTGCCTTCGATGGAGTTTCCGATTCCGGGTATTTTAACGAAACTCACATCGCCACTACTGAGGTTATACCAACAGAGCTTGCTACGGTTCTGTTCAAGCAAAACCCTGTCTCCGTCTATAAGCAAAGGCCTCACAGATTGTAATTTTGGCAATCCAATGTGAAGATGGTCCTGCGTTATGGTAAACAGTTTCTCCCACGAATCTGAGGATCCGTACACTCTCATAACCCAGAAGTCAAATCCGCTTCCCCTATTCTCCACCAGGCACAGACACCCTCCCAACAGAGCCACCTCCATATCGAAATTTCCCTTCACGGTTGCAGGGAGCTCAACTTCACGAAAGCTCTCGCGCGTGAGGTCAAAGGCGACTATGAGATCGGGTTGGTCAGGTTGGAGTTTGCGAGTGACGACCCAGTGAAGGGCACCGCCGACCAAGACGCCCATGGTCCGCGCGCAGCAGAGGGCGTAGGGCATGCTAGGGAGATTTTTCCAGGCGTCGGATTTGAGTGTGTAGAGTTGGACCTGGGAATCGAAGGTGCGGTTGTGGAGATCGACAAAGTAAGTAATGCTGACGAGCTTGTAGTCATTGGAGGCAGCATCGTGGCCGAAGCCGTGGACGCGGGCTGCGAAGAGGGAGGAGTCCGGGCGGTTGAAGCGGTCAGCGGGGAGAATCCGGTGCTTGCGGAGGTGAGGGTTCCAGAGGGCGATGTCGTCGGCGACGTTGGAGATACAGATGAGGCCGTTGCAGGAACCAAGAACCTTGATGCTGTTGCTGTAGCACATGAGAGGGTGAGTAAATTCGAGGGGTTTCTCGAGGGATTGAAGGTCGACGGTGTAGAGGTGGGAGCGGTGACGGAGAATGAGGGTGGTGTGGGATTTGCTGAGGTGGAATAGGATGAAGTGGGTGGTGTCGATGAGGGAGCGCCACCACTTACAGGTGGAGCGGAGCCGCAGCACTGACTTCACCGGCAGACGGGACAGGATTTCGGTGATTACTTCCACCGGAAGATTTGCCATCACTGGGATTGCATGCAACCGGAATTGATTCCTATTGCTGCCACTTGATTCTCAAGAATTGGGATTGATTTTCTGTCTTTTTGTTAATGCTAGGGTTTCCTTCTGAAAAAGAATCAGTGTTGCCAACAGCAGTTCTGTATCACACGCTTTACATCATTTTTTTTTTACATTATTATCCAAATTTATTTTTTATATACCTAACTAAACCATCATCTCAATTACAATGGATTATCCACCACTCCAATTTAACTATTTAGTTTTTTTCCGGATCAATTTAGAATTAATTTTAAATGGATTTTTCGTTTTTCTAGTTTATAATACTTTTTGTTTTTAAAGAAATTGATATTTTGGAAATAATAATATTCTTTCACAATTTGATTTTGGTTAATACATGATTTAGCGTATGTTTAATTTACTAATAAAAGTTGTTGATGTTGTGAACAATTCAGTAACTTGTCAAAAGGAATGGCATATAGAGTAATTATAGAAGAATATAGCAACAGTAATAATAAATAACTAATAGTAATATATTTTTAAAAGGCTGTTTATAAAAGAATTACAACAATTAGCCAGAATTCAAATTTATTTACAAAATAAGATAAAATTATTTTTATATAAAATTAATAATACACATATAGATATAAATATGTTTTATTTAGAAACAAAATTGTAAATATATTATATTTTTAAGAAAAAAATTGTAAAAATGTAATAAATTTAAGTCATATTTTCATAAAACACATGAGAAAATTTGGAGGTACTCATTGCCATGACACGTTTCAATTGTCCTAATTAGATGAAATAAGATGTGAGATTTTTGATACAGCTGTCAATTTGACCCATGACTCTAGAGCTAGATCTAATCCACTCTTGAAAAAACCCTCTCTTAAGAAGCCTCTCAAATTGGGGCAAAAAAAAAGCCTCAATCCCAAAGTCCCCTCTCAAGGAAGTTAGGGTCACGGTTAATGTAGGTTTAGCCCTACTAAAATTTTTTTAGAAACTAAACTTCAATATTCTCATAGTAACTATTAAAAGTACTAAATTTTTACTAAAATATTATAAAAATGCTTTATTTGGTTGTCAATTTTAATACAACTATGTCTTAAATTGCAGACACCAATTATTAAAAAATTATATATAATTAGTAATATCAAAATAACCCCATAATAACATATTAAATTGATTTAATATTTGCACTGCTTTTACAGTTCTTAAAAAGAATCATTGTTTTGTTTCCTCGACTTCTAAACTATCACTCAATCTTTTTTTAATTATTTAAAATTAAAAAATAATTCAAAAATTTTTTATCTAAAATTTTTGGATCAAAACTAGTATTAATATTTTATGTGTAAATTAAACTTATGTTTTATTTTGTTTTTTTCTCTTTGATAATCTTTTCTCAAAATCACCATAAGATATATTATAAAAAGAAAGTTAATTTGTTAAAAATTTATAAAAAAATAAAAATTTTAAATAGACCTGAAGTACTAAAGAATTACAAATGTTATAGTGTTTCAATTCTTTGACTAACACATTAAATAATTTTTCAATTAGAACACGTAACATAAATGTATGTTTATGTTTATGTTTATGACATTTAAAATGTAAACATTTTGAGTATGTAGTACGACGAGATAGAATCCTATGGACGAATACAACTGCAGCACAAGGTTTATGAGTTTTTTTCTTTTTAGTTATTATTTATGTTATAAGCATGATTTGTTGAGTATAAAATGAAAAAAAAAATCATTTATATTTAATTTTTTTCAATAGCTTTATAAGAAAATAAAGAAGCCTTGTTTTTTTTTTTTAATTAAGAGTTTCAATCAGAGAAAATCTTCTCTTAAATTTCAATTTGGATAATTTTAGATAGAAAGTTAATTTCTGATTTATAACCTAAAAAAAAGCGAAATTAAATATTTAAATTTCAAATTTATAAAATGATCGTTTAATTATATACTTGGAGAATCTAACTCAATAAATATTGTTATTTTCCTTTTGTTTCTTGATTCTAGAACTCTCCTCCTATAAAAATTTCAATTTATTTTCTATAATAACTATTTTTGTAATAAATTAAAAGTTAATTATATTTTTTTTTATTCAATAAATATTTTTTCTTTAAAAAACTCATGGATTGAGCTGACCCACAAGACTTTTGAAAATATTTTAACCCTATAAATTTTTTTTACGAGAGACTTTTTGATTTTATGAATTTTTCTGGCCAGCCTACATGAGTTAGCGCCTAGGCCAAAATTGACAGGTGTAATTGTTGTATGTTGTCACCATGTGTACTTTGTCTATTCACGTAATTCTACATAGTTCGTTTTCTTTTTTATTTGTTTTCATAGCTGAATTTAAATAAATAAATTATTCCACCTAATTCCACTAGATAACTTTAAACCTTGTTTTCTTTTAATTTATTTTTTTTACATTTGGTTTAATAATTAATTAAACTTAGACGGTGGGAATCATGTGAAGTTAGTTGGTGAAGGAATGCAAAATCTGACAAAACTCACTTCTAGAAATCATCGAAAAGCTTTCTCCATTTGAAGAAATCTCGTAGCTTGTCCTGATTCCTGGGTTACCTGATTCCTGGGTTACGTTACGCATCTTTCGAAGTCTATCTTCTTCGTTTTTTCTTTATGTATTGTCTAGTTTGATATTACAATTTTTTTTTCAATTTTATTATTAAGTAATTGTAATTTTAAATTAAAATAATTATTATTCTTTTAATTATTAATTCTAATTTAATTATTTTATAAATTGAAATGATTATTTTATCCTTTTTTTTTCAAAAAAAATAACTAATTATTTATAATATAAAGTATACAGATTATTATTTTTAATTAATTATTTTATAGTTCAATAATTTTTTATTAGAATGTGAAAAAAATAAACACACATATATGTATTTCCACTAATTGATAAATTGAAAAATTATGTTTTGAATTATACAATTTAAAAATTATCATTTGTATAGAAAAAGATTTGGATAGTGTAATTTATAAAAAAAGACGAATTATATTTTCCAAAAGTTCTTCCATGAAAAACAATTTTTTTCGTTAAAAAGTTACTTTTGAAGTACATAATCTAAAAATTATAAATATCGGATAACATAATCTATAAATAAAATAATTTAGATTTTATAATTTGAAAAGAAAAACTGAAAGACATTTTTAACAATAAAATGAAAAGTTTTTATGTTTATGAAAGAGAAGAAAAAAACATATTAAATATGCAGGAAAAAAATGGATACCAGAGTTTTTTAATTTCAAATTAATGTTATGTTTTTTTCTCTTGATAAAATAAGTAACAGTCTTTGAATTCAATTCATTATCTCACTTCATCAAAATCTCGTATAAAAACAATACTGTATACCATCTAGATCTGTTAATTTGATATCCTCCTATGACCCAAATAAGTTAGGATTAAAAAAACTCACAAAAAAAAACTCATTAAAAAAAGCTTGGGAGATCAAAATATTCACAAAAATAGACTAGGCCATAACCTTTATTTTTAAAAAAATATTTATTTTTGAATATAATAAATAAATTGTAATTAACTCATAATACGTTATAAATTTAACTATTTTTAATTTGTCAAATAATTATATAAAAAATTTTAAATAGATTAACATAGATTTTATAAGAAGTTTCAATAAATTTAATTGTTTATTTATACAAGAAAATCATGCAATAACATGTAAGATAATAATTTGATTTTCTTGTGAAAAAAATCATCTAAATCCTAATCAAAATTAAATAAAATATTTTAATTTGAAATTTAAAATAGTGAATTTATTAATAAAAAGGATATGAATTTTTTTCTTATATGTTGTTTTTTTTAATATGTATGACTTAAATTTACACTGAAATTATACCAATTATTTATTTATTTTATATATATATATATATAAGGGTCTGTTAGCATGTATAAGGTATTTTTTTAGTTTGTATATTTTAACAATGTGTATCTGGTTTTAGTAGACAAAAATGTCCTCATATATTATGCATTATAAGTTTTAAGGTCAAGGATATTTGAATAATTTTCATTCTCAAAACTAAAAAAAACAAGAAACTCTAAAACCCTTACTCATCTCCCAAAGTCCTTTTAAAATTTTCTTTTTCATCTCTTGTTAAATATAGTGAAAATTATATATGGGATTAATTTCCCTTGTGTTAAACACACATAGGGTTCTCTATTTATAATAGAAGAAATATGGGCTAAGCCCAAAATACAAATAAGAAATAATAACAAACTAACTGAAAGATAAAAGATAAAGATAAAAGATATAATATTTCTAACACTTCCCCCTCAAGCTAGAGCATACAAATTGTATGAACCAAACTTGAAATAATTGAACTTGGTTTTGAATTAGATGATTTGTCTTCAAGAGCAACGGAGGAGGAGGCAATAAACACTTAAACTTCAAAAGTGGATGAAGGAGAGCAGCGGAGAAGGAGACAATAAACACTTCAACTTTTCAGAAGTGGATGAAGAAGAGCAGCGGAGAACAGCGAAGAAGGAGGCAATACACACTTTAACTTCAGAAGTTGATGAAGGAGAGCATAAGAGAAGGAGGCAATAAACACTTCAACTTCAGAAGTGGATGAAGGAGAGCAGCGGAGAAGGAGGAAATAAACACTTCAACTTCAAAAGTGGATGAAGGAGAGCAGCGGAGAAGGAGCCAATAAACACTTCAACTTCAGAAGTGGATGAAGGAGAGCAGCGGAGAAGGAGACAATAAACACTTCAACTTCAGAAGTGGATGAAGGAGAGCAACGGAGAAGGAGGCAATAAACACTTCAACTTCAGAAGTGNTTTCCGGATCAATTTAGAATTAATTTTAAATGGATTTTTCGTTTTTCTAGTTTATAATACTTTTTGTTTTTAAAGAAATTGATATTTTGGAAATAATAATATTCTTTCACAATTTGATTTTGGTTAATACATGATTTAGCGTATGTTTAATTTACTAATAAAAGTTGTTGATGTTGTGAACAATTCAGTAACTTGTCAAAAGGAATGGCATATAGAGTAATTATAGAAGAATATAGCAACAGTAATAATAAATAACTAATAGTAATATATTTTTAAAAGGCTGTTTATAAAAGAATTACAACAATTAGCCAGAATTCAAATTTATTTACAAAATAAGATAAAATTATTTTTATAT